AATAATTTACATACATAATGATGTACGAATAATCTTAAAACGTGCAATTATGTTATTTAAATGCGATGCTTTGCGGAAATCAATTTCCCCCGATTTTTCACGTATTGTCTGTAATTATTTGAAAGTCCCTTTAGGCTTAAAACGAGATCTTTGGGTGAGCCACGAAGATAATCGCATCCGATAAGCTCGCAGCTTCTGCTCATACTGCGGAAGTTGCTACGGAATTATCGCGCGACGATTTGGCATCCAACGAGAAAATTAGAAGGAAAAGTGCACTTTTCCCTTGAAGTTTCATTATTTTCCGTGGATTAAAACTTTATCGCTTACGCGCGAATGAATTTCCATTCGCGCGAGTTTGCATTCGGATCCTCAAGAATTTTTAATCGATGTTTTAACTGTGTACTGATCGATTTATATTTAATCTTCACAATGTAAAGTCAATGCTTCTTGAATTTTGAATATAAACAATTTTTACACTGATTCAAAACATTTGGCAGGAAATAAATATATAGAGATGTTTGTTGTGTGTTATTTAAAATCGCGATTTATATTTTAATCAAAGAAAAAAGTACTGTAATTTCCAAAGAAAAAATACTGATATCCGAATTATGAGTCGTTGAAGTGTTGCAAATTAAGTTTTAGAAATGCAAATGATATTTTTTTCACCGTTCAGTTTCAAGTTTTATAATTCTGATTTTTAGTTGACAATTTAGAACGAAAGCGGAAAGAGATGACTTTCCCAATATTATATTTATTTTTATAAAGAAAATCAATTTCAGATTTGTCAGAGAATACCTACTTTTGCTGTATAATATTCTGTGAACAGAACAAGCTTTAAGTTTATTTATTATAAATGAGTAAAAGAAACTTCAATTTTTTAATCGTGTATATACGCAATTTAGTAAGACATAACATATGCATAAAATAAAACCAATATTTATAATGTTTACAAACTTGACAATTAAATTATAATGTAACATTATGGCACTAAATTCCACGTCCGCGTGTCATATTAACTAATTTATTTCGAGTAATGCCTTCTACTCGCAGAACTTAATGCGCACTAAAAGTATCTTACGTGCTGACATTTTATTATTCTATTACGTTATTGTAGAGCTGAGAGCAGATTATTATAGACCTAATTAAAGTCATTATTAATATCTTTAAGTAATTTCTGTCAGATTGCATATTTAGATTGATATAAGTGCATATTCAATTATGCAAATGAAGTATTTGAAACTTGACGAATTAATATTTCCAAAAATATTATGAGCTCAGAAAGAATTAATTTAAATAGAATTTAATACCTATATAATAGACTTGTCATAGATAGCTCTAAAAAATGTTTTATTTTATCAATTTCAATAAATATACATGTGCATATATGGATATATTAAAATAAAAGATATAACATTAAATTAATAATGAACAGATAAAACAGAGTAAAAATTGCATGTGTAATTCAAAATATCTTTTTTAAATAATTAACTACTGGATATGCATAATTTAAATATTTTTTATATCGTATTGATGTATATATACGGCGAAAACGTTTTATTAATTATTAAAAGTTCGTTTATTTTACAACGAACGTATAAAACTATAAACATATAAAAATATATAAACGTGTAATAAAGAGAATTTTTTAAATTTATATTTCATATTTATAATTTAAATTAACAACATCGTCTGGGATGGCGGTCACTCGAAATTATTCAAGTTACACAATGATTTATTTATGGTATAAGAATCGTATTGGGAAAACATATGTAAATTGCGTTTAAACTTCGCAGTATCCTATTTTCGCCACGTTTTCCTGACAGTTTATTGCGCACGGAAGGATTAAAAACGAGTATCCAGGCGTGATTTGTTATTCTGTTTCACCGTCGCCTTCTCCGCTACATTTTGGCATTACGTCATGAAAATGCAAATATTGTTGCGCCATGGAAACCTAAACGCTATTCTCTTTGAACGAACGAGCCATCCGCCAAGGATTAGTCGGTTGGAAGGAGGAAGATAAATGTAAGATTCGCATGTGATGCTTTGGAAGCGTTCATTACGTGACAGCGTCCGGATGATTATACCGGGTAATTTACAGAGGAACAAGCAATACTATTATAACAACCTAAAATTCGTTTTTCGATATTACTGGCAATTGTTATATCGTACTGGTGGTAATTGTGCATCGCCAAATTATTTATATGCCACTGAAAACGCTGCAGAATGCAAGATCTTATAGAAGTATCGGAAAATCAATATCCAAGCAAGTGGAATACATTATGCAGAATGCATTATACTTCAACAATAAGCGTAATTTACTGCCACATCATTTATCTGATTTCTCAATTATTCGATCTTGTCGCCTCTCGATTTAATGTAACATCTTTTGATACTGAAAGAACGAACGATGAATTCACGAATGAGAGTTTCTTCTTATCGTCGATCATATATATATATATATATATATATATATATATCGGCTTCTGGTTCGCGTTACGTGCGATCTGAGACCTCATATAGTAGGCGTGTCGCGTAATTAAGCCGCTAGAGATTTGCATACGATCCGCCTTGTAAACGCGCGTGAAGAAGAACCATCGCCCAAATGTGGGTGGAAGGATTGCTTGAGGCTTGCCCTCCGGTCTGGCGAGAGCGTTCTGACGCAAATGGATACTGCTTTTTGCATGCGTCTTATCCAAACGCGATCTAAGACGCCCCGTGTCTGAATTGCAAATACCTGAAATTGAAGAAATCCTTTCTATCACCGGCGCAAAAAAAAATAGGAAGACACAGAATAAATAGCGAAAGATGATATTAAACTTTATTGTTTAACTCTTTCAATATTTTTTTACTATATTAGTAAATTAGAAACGTCTTGAAAAAATACAGAATAACTAAATACAGGATTGAGAAGCAAATGTCACTTAAAATAAAACGGAAAAGAAAATGGGAAATACAAAGTTTGTATATAAGTTGGAGGAGAGGGGAGTATAGACAATAAAATATTTCAGTTAAAGTGTTCGATGTTATTTGATGGTCTTTTAAATTTGTCTCTCTCGCTTTCTCCCTCTCCCTTTCGCCATTTCTGTTTACTTTCATTCTTCTGCATTTAACGAGTATAATCGAGAATGTTTGCAAGCTGAGGTGTCTCTGCTCTGCCATAAAACTAAATGCAATTGTAACTCGAATCGTCGATGCGATTGCATACGCATTGCATTTAATATTTCGCGGGAAACTCGATAGCTCGATGCGCCCGCGATTGCAATCTCGCGGTTCGATTAAAATGGACGCGTAACCTTTTTATCAAAATCGCGAATCTCTTTTTCCCCCTCTCTCTCTCTCTCTTTCTCTCTTCCTCTCACTTTGCAATCCCGCGTGGTATTACGTTTGCTTTATGACGGTCGAAAATATCAGCGCGTTTATAAATACAAAGCTGTTTGCCGAAGCGAAAATTGACTAACGCAACACAAACCTGCGACTGTTTCGAACAATTGCAATATCTAACATGTATAAAACAAAACTGAGCGATACCAACTGCGCGGCTTCGCAAGAAGTGTTTGTAGCGGCTTTCGTGTAAAAAGTCGAGCCATTAAAATTATTGTAATTTCACTGTTTTTTTTTTACAGTTGTATCTTTTGAAACGAGAAGATTGATTATTATTGTTTTCTGTTGCGAATTCTAGTTTCGTTGAAATTTCGTTTTCTAAAGATTTTGGACATTTGTGATAGATTGCGTGTTTCATATAATTTTGAGCAGCGAATGATTTACTGTGATTGTAGTATTATAATGAACGCATTTTACAATCTTAATTAATATCTACATTTTATGATTTTTTTTTCTATAAGTTCGCAACGAAACAACAGTACAGGCGCCACAAAAGAATCGCAGATAACTACAAAGAATAAACGATTTCGTGGAAAATAATAGAAATGTCTGTCTTTTATTGCTTGAGAGCTAATTTATGAAACGGCATGACATTTTGAAGAACAATTTTAATGGAAAATGGAATTTTAAACCGCGAAAGTATAGCATTTAATAACTACATATAGTATCGCCGTTGTATAAAACAGCTGTTATCTAATAATGTTAACACGAAGGTTACATAATATAAGTATCATTTAAGTATCATTAATTTAAATATCATTAAATCGAGAATCATATCGAGAAAAGTCGAACGGTGATGTATATTGCGACGTAGCATCACCATGAGTTTTTCGCGTTTCGTCTTCATCGGCTAAAGTGCACCGTACTTTATTTTATCCATATACCGCCGACTTATGGACATGTAATGCAAGACAACCCACCGACCTCTCACTAAAAATGCGCTGTAAAGCCGCGCAAAAACTCACTCCGTAACTACATCGATACACCAAGTGCATCGAAAGTGCACTCATGTGATATGAAGTGCCTACACGTTTATTTTTTTTAATAATGTATAGTGCAGCACCGCGCAGAGTAGGGAACAGAAGTTATTGGAATAATCGAATTGTTCACACGAACGACATTGTGATCCGTAAAAGAATCAAATTTTACAGTAAGAAAGAGTATGTTGTTTTCACGGTCGTTCAAGTTTGAAACAAATCCTTTACCTTTTGCACTGTGAGATTTATCTTACACTAGACTTCTCTATAGATCTTTTTCTCTTAAAAACAATAATTGATTTTGCAATAGTAAAGTAACATTTTTACGTTGAATTACATTTATGTAGTATTTTACACTTCCTCGAAATTAAAAATATCGAAGATTTTTTTCAATTACAAATTCTTCAACAAATTTTAAATCAAATTTCTTTTTAATAATGGTTTCTTGTTATAAAGAAAAGAATTATTTAATTTATTAAAAAATTATAATTATGCTTTATATATATATATATATATAATAAAAATTTAATTATTTTAATAATAAGTTATTTTTATTATTTTAGTATAATTAGCATTATAATAGCTATTTGTATGTTTTTAAATACATATATTTGAAAATATTGATTTGCATTTTTGTTTCAGATCACGGTGAGTATGTAATGCTGGCAACGTGCGACGCAATTAAACGCGAAACCATTCGCGAGAACGAGCGACTCCAAGGTAAAATTAGCTCGAAATTTAGCTTGTGCATAAGCAAGAAGACGCGTAAGTGCCAAGAGTATGTTTAATATCTGAGTAATGGACGCTTTTACGACTTCTTAATACGTCAAAGTGCGTGCACGATACGGAACGGGACGTCCGGAATTTTATTTATCCCTCAGATCTGCCGCGCGCATTTAATTACTTTTCTTGTAGTAATTTTTATCCTGCATTTCTGTTTCGTTTTTATCATATAAATTATGTAATTTCGCATTTTACATTATTTTATTGTTTTTAACGGGAAATTTTAATTAATTTACGAGTTTTTTCACTTTTATAAGCATAATATTTAATAACTGGTATTTTTCAATTCGTGCTTTTAATATTTACTACAAGTATTCATAATAAATTTTATACATACACGTACACTTTTTCTTATTCCATATTTTTTACTTTTATCATGTAAACGTAAGACGAATTTTAAATGATAAAATTTTGTTCTCTCCTTCTTTTTCGCTTCTATCAAAAGTGAAAGTCAATAAATTATACAATCTTTTTTAATTTGATTAATTTCATATTGTTTCTTATTATCGTATAACAATTATTAGAAAGGTATAATCAGTATTTTCAAATATGATACGAAACGGAAAGACGTACTTTGAACGTGACTTTGGTCCGACTTACAAAACACCGAGAATAGGTTGTCGTGAGTTAATTTAAAGTCTGTGCTTATTACGTACTTCGCTGTAATTAACTTGTCTAATTATACGACGAAATCCTTCAGTTTCTGCCATGGCATGAAGTTTAACGCATGAAGCCATTAAGAAACTGTTTCGCGAATCTTATTTTGCACTTCATCAAAGCGGTAGCAATTTTTACAATATATGCATCAAGTTCGATTATTTTAGTACATATTCTTTATTGTATATCTTAACATTTTATTTATTTTAACATCTGAAGTCTAAAATATTTTCCATTTTAACTTTTATTTTATCCACATTTTTTTTTCAAGCTGTATATAGTTACTAACTGTATATATTTTTACATGTTTTACTCCCTTTCTATCTATGTTCCATTTAAAAAATATATTATTGTTATGATTAATTTCTTTACCATAAATATTTAATTTATCATTCAAGTATCTATACGATATACCTGTGTGGTACAGACAGATTAATATTAGTTTAATCTAAACAATTATAATCAAAATTTTCACGAATTTAAGAGTATTAATTCCACGGCAGTTTAGAATAAATAGCATAGATTGCTAAGTTTCTTCATAATTATTAAATAAATCCGAGACGATCGGGTTTTGTCGGATAACGACTTTCCGGTAAATTAGAATCGATAAACTATCGATATAGCACACTTCCGGAATCCGCTAACGATCTTTTTGCTGGCGCGAAGTGTCCATCGCAAAAACGCGATCGCCACCGCGTCGTATTGAAAGTTTAATTATGCGAGCGCGATGAAAAATCGTCAGGCAACTGCGGCGAGACACTGTAACCGCGCGAAGCTACCTAATGCTTCAACAACGCAGTACAACTTAATACAAGGATACAGTAAGATATTGATTTTAATTAGTTCTCTTTAATTGCACTTGTGTAACTGTTCATTTCTACATCTTCCCAGTCTAATAATATTTTCTCTTCTCTTTTATCACCTCATCACGTGAATGTTACCAATAGTAATTTAAACTTCTATCAATGTCTGTAAAATCTTATTTATAAGAAATGCCTGTCGCAATTGGGCAAGGTAATCGAGCACAAATTGGTCTTATTTAACTGCAGTTTATTTTATTTACAACATACACAAATAATATTTTTAAAAATTATTACTTTAAAGAAACATTTACAAAATACGAACGTGAATTAATTCGTGAAGACATCAACGTTTCTCTACTATTTTAGTTTTTACTACCAGTCGAGGAATTCTTGTTTCTTCCGAAATGCACGATTCTCCGCATTTAATTTCCCTTCGCGAAATTCGAAAACGATTCGAAATCCTCCACTCGCCGCTCTTCCTCGAACTTAAATCAACATCATCAGACACGGTTAGATCGATGTAATTGCAGGTGCTGCGATTTAATGGTCCACTCTTCGACCTGCCTCTCCCTCCTCCTGGCCTGCTTCCTTCGCCTTTGGGGCTCCCTTCTTCGTTTCCGCTTTAACTCGATAAAACCTGCTTTGCAGCTCGCAACGCCAGCCAGCCGGCGCTTCCTCACGAAAATTGAGAGTGCAATTTGTAAGCTACCTCACTTCCCTCCCCCCTTTTCTTCCCCCCGATATTAACCCCGATCGATGTAGCGAGCCATCCCCCTCGCTGTTTTCCCTCGGCGTGTTGCAATGTTTCGCGTTCGGATAATGACGGCATGCCGTCTTCGTGCAGAGATTTCGTGCGGAAAGGGGCGGAAATTCACGGATTTGTGAAATTTTTAACCAAGCGTTTGGATTACATTGCTGTACAGGTTGTTTCAAGGGTTAAGGTCAGTCGGTAAGAATCTCTTAAACTTTAGAGGAGACCTCTACTATTGCAGGTAATATATTTATGATTTACAAATAAAATATATCTATCGTATTAAGATATTGTATATAACAATCACCGTTATTTACTTTTCAATACTAGCTTTGTCGCTCGCGCGAGTTGCCCTTCATATACTATAAAATAGATTATGACGAATAGACGAAATAGGCGAGAGAGAGAGAGAGAGAGAAAAACAAGAAAAAATTCAAGCCCTCAATTTGTTGTTAATTTTGTAAATAAATGATTACATTTTTAAATTACAAGTTTTAAATATAAAAGTAATAATATTATCGATTTCTATTGTAATATTTATAGTACATCTAGTAGTAATGTCTATTAAAAGTTGAAGAAGTTTCTATTATTTGATATAATTTTTAGAATTTATAAAATATCTATTTAAATGATAAAATAAAGATGTGTGTATGTATGTAAAGTCAAATGTGAATTAATTCTTGCATTATTCCAATTCATATTTAAAATATTATTTACATGAACAATGTAATTTTACGGAAAAAAACTTTTTGAAAACATGTACTGTAACAAGAGACAATTAGTTCGAAAACTTTTCGAGTAATTTCGTGTATTTTCGAGCGGACATTCGACGGAACACTCGATATATTCGAGCGTTCAATTGAATGCGAACGAACGTGCAGAGATTGACGATGGTTGTACGCCCCCTCCATTCCTTCGTGTAAAATCGTTCAGATGATGCATTTTTTTATAATTTTATTCGACGGATGTTTCCGCTGTTGCGCGTATTTATCCGTATATGGCGCAAATGTGTAGCCGGCACGTTAGCAAATCTTTCGTTTGTTCGAAATTTTACATTGACGAGGATTTGACGGATTTTGCGTAAAAATTCAAACAACCCTATATCGTTTTTTTTCCCTGGCAAAATCGGGATTATATCGAGAGATTTTCAACTGATTGCCGCGCTACCGTAGTTGGCGTGATACTTGATAAACAATTGAGCGAGCACTATGGTACACAAAATGGGGGTAACTCTTGTTTTGAGTAAAACTGAATAAACGAAACGTCTCTGTAAGCAAACGTCCTCTTTGAAAAATATTAATAAACGAAGTTTTATTCAATAAGGCAAGTTTCTAAAAAAAAAAATTGTTGAAAAAAGAGCCTCCAGTATACCCATTTATGCCAGTTGGATTGACAAGGGTGTGTAATCCAATTAATTATTATTACCGTACTTATCTGATTGATTTCAGTTGTTATTACTAATTAAGCCACAATTAATCTGTCATCATTATTTAAAATCATTTAACTGTTATAATACATTACAATTGGCCAATGATTACATGTTAGTGCGATAAATTACTAAAATTTAATCGTCATCATTGATTATTTGTGTAACTAAGTTTTCATCGTTAATCGACCTATTAAAGCCACATATTTTGAATCTAGCCGCGTTGTTGCGCGGCTGTTATGTATTATAATCAGTGCAATTTATATCGCGCGCACTTCGCGTATAGGTACACTTTTATTCACCTCCCAGCGCACCAGCAGCAGCGCTGCAGCGGTACAGTTCGTTCCGCGGAACTCTCCGCGAAATATCGACGTGATTTCGATAACTTATGACCGCTGCTAGTTCCAGTGCCGCCACTTCTATGGTGATTGCCTTTTGTTACGGTTGAATGGCGTCCGCAACCCCCACGGGCTTTTCCCCGCCTGTAAGCCAGGGAAAAGGGAGCGACGGGGGTAGTGGGCCTTTCTCTCCGTGCCCGGAGGGACAACTCGTTCCTTCGGGCGAAACTGACCGCGGCTGAGCAGGCGGTTGCGACTTGCAATAGATCAAGCCGAAATCGCCGAGACCGTCGGTATTTGTCGACCCCGATGGTGCTCGAATCGCGGATTTGCGAGGGAAAGGTTAAGACCTTAGTAGCTGTCGGAGCAATATTGGATTATAACGGATTTAACATATATATATAGGTATATATACCTTTTACGATTTTCTACTGCAATATATTTCTCTGCCTTTTATTAACGTTTTATTAAAATATCAAGGATATTAATAAATATTAAACAAATATTATAAAACTTAATTTAATTGAGATCATATTAAGGAAAGAAGAATGAATAAATTATACGATAAGACATTATGAAATGTTTGAGTTATTATAACGCTAGCATTTTATTAGGGAAAACTTTTCAAGTTCGAATAAGTTTCAAGGTTTGTGTTCATATAACTAGTTTTCACATCTTTGACGTGTGAAAAACGTGTATCTAAAGTTTTGCAGGTTTTGCTCAATTTTTTACTATCATTTTGTATAAGACACATTTAAATTATGCGGTCATTTATTAATGAAAATGAATTAAAACGAAGTTGGTAGCACGTTTTACAAGTTTACTCCGGAGCGCGAGTGGTAGCATGCGAAAAATCTCATTTATTTCAACGTATACCGCAAGAAGCGTGT